TATTAAGCATTCACAATGTCTTGATCACTCCGTTGCAATGCTTGAGATAATTCATTAATGACCCCTAATATATTTTCCATCAAATGCAAATTAAATACAAACTCAAATGACCGTAAAAAACTCAACAACATACAAGCTTCAGCTCTTTGCTCTGAGTGTGTTCCATCTTCCTTAATAATTTCAAGTACATCCATCACAAAAGAAAACATAGTAATCAAGCTAACAATAGTTTTATAATGTGAACCCCAACGAGTATCTCCAGCTCTCTTTATAACAGTTTCTTGATTTAATCCACGACCACTAAAGGTTTCACCATTTTGTAATTTTTCTCTTACTTTAATCATTTGACTAGATTAAAGATTTTTTTCTCTTACATGAAGCACCAACCACATTAACCACACCAGCAACCAAATTAAAGAGAAGGCAACCTAAACTTGTTTTTTAACAATTGCAACAAACGCTAATTGGAGTTGATGTGCAAAGCAATGAACATAAAAAACATTTTCATTGTCTCTTAGAATCAAACTTTTAAACATTTTCATTGTCTCTTAGAATCAAACTTTTAAACATTTTCATTGTCTCTTAGAATCAAACTTTTAAGTCTATTAAATTTTCCTTGCATATTACTTGTCCCGTCATAACATTGTTTTCTTATTCTTGAAAAACATAATCCACGAGTTGAAAAACATTTTCATTGTCCCCGTCATTACTGGCGGGGACCATGAATAATGCTCAAACCCTACAAATCAATCGAAGCCATAGAATCCATAAAGTCAATTGGAGTCGAAGTAGATGCAGTCAAGTGGAGAAGACAGTAACTACGAACAAGCACCAAATCAGTTTCGTCGATGAGAGACTAGAAAAAGGTTATTTTATAAATCAAGTTATTATTAAATTTTCATAATCAAATATTTAACAAAATTCCTATTTATGTGTTTATTTTTATTTTCTATTTGTTCTTAAAAAATAGGATAATTTTATTCTTTTCTATTATGTGCTTTAAAAATAAGATAATTCTATTTGTTTTCTATTTTTTGCTTAAAAATTAATATAAATCAAATGATTTTAGTGGTTAAAATGATCAATTTTATCCTTAGAAGTCTTATATTTGAGCATAAGCGATTGCAAGATAACGTTCATTGTCAAATGGTTGATAATCTTTTAGAAAAAAAATACTATCACTTATAATCACTCTAGATTAATAAAAAAATCAAATTAAAGTTAAGGGAAAATTATCTATTTGGTATCCCATTTATTTTCATATTTCTCTTTTGGTCACTCAACTATTTTTCAAAAAAATAACAATATTGAAATTTATATATATTTTTTATTTTGATATCCTACGGTTAAGTTTAACTATTGACTAAGCAGAAACAATGATGTGATATAATAATAAATTTAGTCCTTAAAACATAAACATTCTATCAAATTGATCATAATTCAAAATAATTCAATAAATCCTTAATATTTTAAAATCCTATCAATTTGATTCTCATTTAAAATTGAAATAATTTAATAACAATTTATTATTAATTTAATAATAATATTTAAATATTAATAATTTATTAAATTACTTTAAATTAAGACCAATTTGATAAACTATATAAATTTTAAGATTCAAACTATTATTATATACAATATTGCATCACTATATCAGTTAAATCAACGATTAAAACTAATAATATGATATCAAAATAAAAAATAGAATATTAATTTGAATTCTAAAAATAGTTAATATGAAAAACAAATAATTTAACCAAAATTAATTGAGAGTCGAATTAAAATAACGATCATCACCGACCAACGATCACTAAATCGTAACTGAAAGAGACAACATGCCCGACACTTACGTGGCTTTCAGCCACGTGAGACCCAACTCCATTACACGTGTCAGCATCCGCATTGCCTACAAACCTAGCCACGTGTTCGCCTACCCTCAAGATCATGTGGGTCTCATCCCTTTTTTTTCACCCTTCAGCCTAAAAGGCTAAAACTAAAAACCCTAAATGTTAGCGACCTATTATATTATATTAACCAATAAAATAATAAAAAGTAAACTTTACAAATGGTCACTAAGGTTTGAGTAAGTTTTCATTTTCACCACTTATATTTTAAAAATCACAAATTGGTTACTAACGTTATTGTTTAGTACAAATTAGTCAGTCGGCGTTAACAACCATTACTGAAGATAACAGAATGCTAAAGATAATGGACTCAACTCAGCTTCTACCCCACATTTCTCAATAATTTAACGAGAGGCGTTCATTTTTCGGTTTAAATCGAATTGATTGACCAAACTAAAATTTAATTCGATTATTCAATTGGTTAATTTGATATTAATTCAATTAAAGACTGATTTTTTTTTTCAAAATTCAATTATCGATTAATTCAATTCAAAATCAATTAATTAACTAAATTAACCAAAATTATTATATATATATTAAGCTCAAACCTTTAAGAAATGATCCTAAATATTTTTTATCATACTAGACCTATCAAATTTTAACCTAAATAAAGAAAAAATATCTCCATTGAATTCGGATTAATTTAACTAAAAAGGTTTACAAAATATTTCAATTAATTTGGTTAACCGACCAAATCAACCAAACTTTGTTCGGTTCAATTAAAAACTTTCAAAAATTTCAATCCAGTTAATGTTAAAAATACATATATTACGGTGAATAAATTTTAGGTAGTTCAATTCGTTTGGTTGATTGAACAACCCTAACATTTAATCGAGAAAGCATGAAAGAAAAAGACCCTTGACGTCATTATAGTCTCGAGAGTCGAATGAAGTTTCACTGTCAGGTCTGTCGTGGGCTACGATAGGGATGACGAGCAGTGTGATATCAAGACTCAAAGAAGTGGCCAAATCGATGAAGTTCAATGTGAAGAAAAATGTGTAAAGTATGAGATTGGAGGGTCAAGAATTTGGTTTATAAAAAGAGGAGTGACATGGACAAAGGGCTCTTAGCGTGGCAAAAAACTTAATCCAAGTAGGAGGTTAACGTGCCACGTCAATTTTCATTACCTATAGTAATGACAATTAACGGCAAGCAACTAATTTGTTACTTTTAAAACATCAGTGGAGAAAACAAAAATTTACTTAAACATCAATGACCATTTATGTAGTTTACCCTTAGTTAAAATCAAATAATTCTTATGAAAAACATTGAAAATGAACTTAGATTTGACTCTTTGTCCAATGAGTTTTACAACAGCTTTAGCTTTCTTGGCCGCACCATATTTAAATTAGCAGAATAAAATCAAGCATTTTAAAAGTAAATTATATATTAGAAACTTTTATATTTATGTTTTAGGACAAGGGCAAATTATCTATTTGGCCATTTAATTATTAGTGTGTTTTTGTTTTGATTACCAAACTACACAAATCTTTCATTTGCATCAATATATTATCGTTGTTTCAGTTTTGATCATATTACATTATATTATATATGGAAATGATAACATGTCATGGTATATTAACACATTTAACTATCAAATTTTATATATTTTATCAATTATGTCCTAATATGGAATTATCAAATAAATTTAACACTTCATATTTATAAATTTTATCAATTTAGTTCTCAAGCACACCACCATCGTCATTCCTCATCAACCATTACAAACTTATCGGTTAGAATCGAGTGGATGATGTAAAATTTTCGGGTTAGGTCAGATTGACCGAAACTCGACCCGTGTCCGTCCCTAATCGTGACTTTGTTTACCCCGACATATTATCGTGAGGAGCACTAATGTTATTCATTAAGAAGAAAGGTCGATGAGGTTGTGTATTAACTATCAACAATTGAATAACTATGGAGAATATGTATTGGCTTCTTAGGGTTGACAACTTGTTTGACCAACTTAAAGATGCTAGAGTGTTCTCTAAAATCAACTTGAGATTAAGATAATATCAGTTAAAAGTCAAAGAAGCAGACATTTCAAAGATAACCTTTTGAATCAGATATAGTCATTACGAATTTTTTATGAGGTCGTTTGTTCTCACTAATGCACCAAAAAACACTTTTCCATCGTACAATTAAAAAACAATGTTAAATTAGTTACATCGTACAATTTTGTGTTTTGTTTAATTATAATGTATGATTAATATATGTTACAATTATATAATAATATATGATTAATATATATAATAAGTTCAAACCTTTAAGGATTGGATACTCCTAAATTGTGACCGAGAAAGCCTGGAAGGAAAATACCCTTGATTTCTGTGAACGTGAAAATATCAAATTTTACAAAATACAACTTTCTCCAAGGTTGGTTTTTCTTTTTTTTTTTCTTTTGCTACAAATGTAAACTGTAAATGCTCACTATAACCCAAGCAATGGGTAAAATCTAAGGTTGTCGAGGAGTATATGACATAAGCACATAAACAGTGCTATAGGGATCCCGTTCATTTGCAGTTAAGCTACTGTTGCCACGTCCAATATCGCCATTGTCAAATATTCCGACCACAGGGATCCCAGGAAAGTTATCCAAGAATGGGAAGCTCTCAATGTTATGTTGACCAAAAAATGGTCCCACATGGCTCATGTTACCAAAGACAAAACCTCCGAAAGGTTCCATTTTACCACGGACATTAGCAACTGTTGAATCCCATTCCAACTTCAACATTCTAAAGGCAGAGGAGACATCTTCTCTTGAGGATGATGCAATCCTCGGATCTGGAATGTAAAATTGGAAAGAGTCACCAGTTTTGATACCTACAGCACCGACCTGAAGGTACTCCTGCGATTCTTCACCGTTGAAAAAACAAATAATTCATTCAATTAGATAATAAAACAATCATTCCACTAAAATTTCACCACTAGTATAAAAAATAGTTCTCGTGGATCACTATGGTCGACCGGAAACAGGAAAACAAAATAATGATAGTGAAATTCTCTTGATCCAGCCCTACACATTAATCCATGCCATATATTTTATTTTAAACCAAACAAAGACGGGAAAAATGTTTCAAAGTCTTACTCTTCAACTTCATGGAATTGCAAGGTTGTCTGCCCACGCCTATATGAGCCAACAGAATAGTTCTGTGGTCTTGTAACCGCAATGTGAAAACTAAGAGGGAAGAAATTATTTTCTATCAGCAAGGGGAAATTGTTGAAATAATGCCTTTGAAAAAAAAACATTTAAAGTAATCCACCTCCAACATTATTTAAAAAAACATTTACCAAAGTAATCCATCTCCAACATTATTTCCCAGATTAGGCCTAATGCTACAGTACTTTAGAATACTCCAAGAGCGCATGGAGTCTTCACTTGAAGACTCCAAGAGTGCTATGCATCTTTACCTTCGGAAAAATTGAAAACGTATGGATTACCATGCGTCTTCACCCTGAAAAACTCGCACGGTGCTTCTGGCGTCATCCTCTTTACACTGTAGTTAAAAATGGTGAGAGCCTTATACAGGGAATTTTTTTCCCCACTGCTCTACGTGAGCAAGGAAGCCTTTCACAATGCAATTGGTCAAAACTCTAGTTGAAAGGGATGAAGCTTCAAGACAAAGGATCGATTAGGGGCACAAGATATCTGCATTAAACATTCAGTTCGAGCTGCATCAGCATATTTTCAACAAAAGTGCCTCAAGACCCTTTCAGGCCAGGCCCATTTGGTCAGGCACACGCTAGTGGTCCTACGAACACTTTTTTGTCAAGCGATAGGCATAAAAGAGCCTACCTGGTTGAATTTCTCCTTAATTTCTTTTACTTTTCACCTTTTTTTTCTCTTTCATTTGATATATCTATACTAGTACCCATACTTTGTAATATTTGAGCATTCAACAACAAGCACTGACCACAAGGAGATCAGACATATTAACCAATAAACAAATTGCATGTTTTGTAGATAAACTACACTATAGTTTAGAGATTATTATATATCTTAAGCTTCTTTTTGTTGTTGTGTGTGTATATAAAAGCTCACATATACATATTGCGCTTTGCTTTACTCAGGCTAGCACATCTTTGTGCCTAGCCCTGAGGCAATGTAAGGGTTTAAGCACCTAGAGTGCACATTTCATCCTTGACAACATTGATTTTAAATACTTCGATATGTTCATGCTTTCTTATATACACACTGAAGTGCATGGTCATACCTCATAGTCATTGGTAACTTCTAGCATCTGTTGAGCACCAAGAATCTCCTGCTCTCCTTCTCTTCCGGCAGCAAGCTCAGTAACATAGTAATCCTCTTTCTCTGTTCTGGATACAACCTTAAACTTTGGTCTGATTGCTGTGGAACCATTTGACGCTGCAAAATGAAATTCAATATTCCCTATACCTGACAATTTAACATGCATCAACCTATGTTACCAAACAATAAGGAGAAAAAGTTAAAAAAAATCCATAGAACCACATAAAGAATCCATAAAGGGGCATCACATGATGCACTGTATGGTTCAACACCAACCAGAAAATAATTGAACATTATGCATCGTAGACAACAACAGGAAGATTCAAGAACAAGTCCTCAGAGAATTAGCATGTAGAAAATGGGGAGGGAAGATTGAGTATGAAACCAGGAGAACAACTTAAAAAAATGTTGCAACTGCACATGTGCTTCTTGACATGCTAGAATTGAAATGTAAGACAGTTCATGCGGAATTTATCGGGAATGAGATGAATGAGATCACACTATATTATCCTATTACACTTGCAAAGGGAAACATACGCATGTGTAGTGATTAAAACAGTTAATAAGTTTCATAAAATTTGAGAAAAATTAATAAATACAGAATCATAGGAATAGTTACCATGGGCTTTGTTGCTTCTATCTCTTGCAAAAACAAGAGCAACAACATCAGTTGACTGTTCGACATTTCTTGAAGCATTACTTCTATAAACATACTGACATCTTTCCTCGCCCACAATGATTGTTTCCGTAGACATTGTACGATCTGAGACAAACAGGATTACCAAAAACAACAATAAACATGCACAAATCTTCTGAATAACATAAAAGGAGGAGAAAGAGAAAATAGGGAAATGGAAAAACTTGCCTAACATCTTAAGGACAGGTTCCAGGCGAGTCACTATATCCTACAAAATCAAAATGCCACATGTTAAAGTGCCGCCAATTAAAAGACCCTAATTTAGCAGCTTACCCCTATCAATATAATTGTTTGCGGTGATGTGGAACCGGACACAGGGGATGTAAAATTCTTAATATCTCTCACGAACTTGTAAACCATTGGCATTGAACAATTGGGTGGCTGATAAAAAGGTAAAGATTTCCTTCCTTTGATATATCGAAATTAAGCACCACTTTTTGTTAGGATTTCCATGTTCTAGAGTTTCAGTAGCTGAACAAATTTCACCTCTGCCTCAGAGCGTCGTAAAAGAGGGATCACGTCGACCTTAAGTCCCGGAACGAATCCAACAGTCAATTCATTGCCCGTATTTACAGTAATTTCCTCATCAGTATTTTCAGTCCACACAACCTGCCATTTCATGAACCAGAATTCAAAAACAAAAATATAAAAGTTTAAGCATCACAGTGATACAGAATAGGAAAGTACTTAATAATAGAAAAGAAAGAACAAACCTCCCTAAATTCTTGAGTACGTGCATCTCGTCCAAGAATTCCTTTAGCACAAACTACAATAATCGGTGTTCTTGACCAAAATTTTTTACCATCTGCCCAAGGAGCAAAAAATTTAAAAATTTCTGGAAAGTAAGTAGCTAAGAAGGAAAGAAAGATTATGTTTTTAGACTTCATACGAATTGGAGAATGTCATCGAATCCAGATTCAGTACCAACACTCGCCATAACAAAATGGGGTCTAATTGGCTCTGACATAACCTTTTCAAAAAGCTCTTGTAGAGCATCCTACACCAATGTTTACAAACAAAAATCAGCAAAAGAATATAAAGAATTACTTTTCTTTTGAATTGGGAATTAAAAGAAAAAATGAAGAGATTGTTACAAGAGGCACAGGGTTGAAGGAGACGGCGGAGGAGAGCTTAGGTCGGGAGAAAATGCGAGAGCAAGCGGCGTTCCAGTCGTTACAGACGGCGGCAGCGGAAGCGAAAGACTTGGCGGGTAGCCTTGAAAGTATGTTATCAAGATCATTGGTCAGCAAATAAAACCCAATGTTCTCCATCGAAGGGCTTGTGGAAGACTCAATACCAACTCAAGTTTCTCGTTTGCTTCTTTTAAAAAAACAATTTATATTTAAAATTTTAAAAAATATTTTCAAAAATTTTAAGGGTAAAGTATAGTAATGGTCACTGAACTTTTCTAAATCTTTCATTTAGGTCCCCCAACTTTAAAAACTTGTAATACAGTCCCTCAACATTTAGTCCGTTTTCAATATGGTCCCCCAACAGTTACGTCGGGGACCATATTGCAAACGGACTAAATATTGAGGGACCATATTGTAAACGGACTAAATGTTGGGGGATTATATTGCAAGTTTTAAAAGTTGGAGGACCTAAATGAAATCTTTAGAAAATTTCAGTGACCATTACTATGCTTTACCCATATATATATTGTCACCATTGCTAGGCTCTTCTATCACCTAGCTCAAACCAATCTAGCAAACCCCACGAGTCCCACCTACCGTTTCCAGTTCCACAAAACCAAGAAACAATGAACGGATACTCATATTCCAAGATCAAAGTTGAAGTTGCAGGTAATGAAAGTTCCATATCCATGTTGTCTTCTTCTCCCTCAGATCTTCAGCCCATCCCTGAACCCGAAACCCACTTTAAACCCAACCCCAAAACCGACCAAAAACTCGAACCCCGACACCCAATTTTCATCGGAGAAAGAAGACGACGTCGGTGACGGTGGTGATCGAGCCGAGGGCAACAACGACGGCGGTGGTGGTGAGGAGAAGATGATGTCTTCGATCCCACACTGATACGAAACAGCTCGGTTTCTTCGGCTTATGCGCTCCAGCTCCAGACCGCCGTGAAGAGAGCGTTCTCGATGCGAAGATCTTGCTCGGTATCGGAAAGTTATTGTAGGATCCATGACCAGCGTGTTACTTTAACATCTCCCTTGGATGAAGATCAAGTACCAGGCATTAGTGGAACTGAAAGATCTGTGAAGAAGAAGAAGAACACAAGAGACAAGATCCCATAGTATAAAATAGCGGTTGCGACATCTATCGCGGTTGCGGTGTCGCGGTTGCGGATACTGCGAACGTTACGTAACGTGTTGCGGCTGTCGCGGACGTGATTTTTTAACGTGTTGCGACTTTCGCGGGCAGTTACATTGCGTTAATATTGCGTCGAGATGACCTTCAAAACCGTTACAATGCGGTCGTTACACTGCGTTGCAGCCACAATTTAATACCATGCAAGATCCTTAAAGCATGGAAGAAATTATTTAGACTCTAGTGTCGTTTAATTACTATAAATTTTTCATATGCTTTGCAATTTTCTTTTCTTTTTTAATTATCGTTTAATTATTACATTTTTCCCTTTTTAAATAGTATTGCCTTAATTTCATATACTGGAATACTATATAATAAAGTAAAAATTATTATTTAATCTCTCAAGATTTCTTTATTTAAATTAGATTTTTTCTCCTCCAGTTCCAAGGTTTAGTCATGATTAATTTGGAGCGACCGGGTCACACACCTGGTTTTGGTGGGTGAGTCTCTCAGCGGAGATTTTCTGTATACACAGGAACTCAAACCTGAGACATTGCTTAAACGATATCAAACTGCTTACGAGTTGAACCAATCTCTGTTGGTAGTTAAATTAGATTTTAATTATATCTAAAATTAAATAGGAATGAATTTTTAAAATAAAAAGAAGGTAAATTTTAAATTCGATGTCTTATTTAAGAAATATTAATTTTTTTATTCAATCCAATATAATTATCATATTTTTAATATTTTTATTTTCAGAAAATATATAATTACTTAAAATTGTTTTTTCTAGCATATGAATATTTGTTTATTGATTTATTGTCTCATAATAAAATATTTAAATCTCATTATAAATGTGGTTTAAGTGATTGAAAAATTATTTATTCGTTAAAAAACAGAAAATGCAAATGAGAATCGAAGGGACAAGACAAGACCATCAATAACACGTGGATTTTATTTAGACACAATAAAAGAAATTTATTTTTAGCGTAAAGTATACTAATGGTCACTGAAATTTTCTAAAACTTTCATTTAGGTCCCCCAACTTTTAAAACTTGCAATACAGTCCCCCAACATTTAGTCTGTTTGCAATATAGTCCCCCAACAGTTAGTCAGGGACCATATTGCAAACTGACTAAATGTTGAGGGACCATATTGCAAACGAACTAAATGTTGGGGGATTATATTGCAAGTTTTAAAAGTTGGGGGACCTAAATGAAAGCTTTAGAAAAGTTCAGTGACCATTAGTATACTTTACCTAAATTTTAATTATCAAATAATGAAATTATTATTTTTATTAAGCACTTAACTTTTCTTTAAGAAGTTTAAATTAAAATTAAAAGATGATATATCTAGAAAATTAAAAAAAATACATCTAAACTTAAATACAATTAAAACGTTTGGGAAGGAGAGTTCAGCTAATGGTTACAGAAAAATTGCAATTCTAGAAGAGTTGGACAGGAGGACATCGCCTGGGGAATTATATTATCATCTACACTATGAAATTTATGGAAGGAGAAAAACAATTCTACTTTCAACTACAACAACAGGAACCCAATGCAGATTAAGCATTACAGTATAAATCTGGCTATAAAAATAAAAGCAGCTTTTGAAAACTCACATAACCAGATGATCAAAGATCCCCAATGGGTTAAATGGAAGAAGCCGCCTCAGGGTCACTGGATTCTTAACTCGGACGGAGCCTGCAAAACAAACACTGGCCATGCAACGGCAGGAGGTTTAATTAGAGACGAAGATAGAAAATGGATCCAAGGATTCATGGTAAATGTAGGGAAAACAACCATGGCCGAAATTTGGGGAATATGGCAGGGACTCATTCTTGAGAAATCCTTGGGAGCGAGAAATCTGATTGTAAAAGCCGCTGCAAAATGGATGGCCAAAACCCTAAATCAAAACAAAATGGATGACATCCAGAAAGAAATTGTTTTTAAAGAGTGCATGAAACTAAAGGAAGAATGATGGGTCTCGAAAATTAGGCATACGTGGAGAGAAGAAATCGAAGGGCTTAAGTGGTGGAAGACTCTCGATACCAACTCATGTTTCTCGTTTGCTGCTTTCAGGGGGAAGTTTCTCGTTTGCTGCTTTCAGGGGGAAGTTTCTCGTTTGCTTTCGGCTTTTTCACTCTATCTCCTAGTTTTCCTTTATATCTCTAACTTTTTGCAGCAATCAATTATAAGAATGAGCAAATCGAATCCCAGATCAAGACTTTGAATCTTGATTATTTACAAATGAAATAAAACTTACCCATGCTCTTTCTCCCGCTCTTTCTCATTCTTCCAGTCTTCATCGGTTACAAATTTCAAACTTAATGGTGAATTACAAATTACTCACTATACGTTTAATTTTTTTTTAATTTAATCATTAAATTTTATACATTATATTTTGGGTAAAGTATAGTAATGGTCACTGAACTTTTCTAAATCTTTCATTTAGGTTCCCCAACTTTTAAAACTTGTAATACAGTCCCTCAAAATTTAGTCCGTTTGCAATATGGTCCCCCAACAGTTACGTCGGGGACCATATTGCAAACGAACTAAATGTTGAGGGACCATATTGCAAACAGACTAAATGTTGGGGGATTATATTGCAAGTTTTAAAAGTTGGAGGACCTAAATGAAATCTTTAGAAAATTTCAGTGACCATTACTATGCTTTTCCCATATATATATTGTCACCATTGCTAGGCTCTTCTATCACCTAGCTCAAACCAATCTAGCAAACCCCACGAGTCCCACCTACCGTTTCTAGTTCCACAAAACCAAGAAACAATGAACGGATACTCATATTCCAAGATCAAAGTTGAAGTTGCAGGCAATGAAAGTTCCATACCCATGTTATCTTCTTCTCCCTCAGATCTTCAGCCCATCCCTGAACCTGAAACCCACTTTGAACCCAACCCCAAAACCGACCAAAAACTCGAACCCTGACACCCAATTTTCATCGGAGAAAGAAGACGATGTCGGTGACGGTGGTGATCGAGCCGAGGGCAACAACGACGGCGGTGGTGGTGAGGAGAAGATGATGTCTTCGATCCCACACTGAGACGAAACAGCTCGGTTTCTTCGGCTTATGCGCTCCAGCTCCAGACCGTCGTGAAGAGAGCGTTCTCGATGCGAAGATCTTGCTCGGTATCAGAAAGTTGTTGTAGGATCCATGACCAGCGTGTTACTTTAACATCTCCCTTGGATGAAGATCAAGTACCGGGCATCAGTGGAACTGAAAGATCTGTGAAGAAGAAGAACACAAGAGACAAGATCCCATAGTATAAAATAGCGGTTGCGGCATCTGTCGCGGTTGCGGTGTCGCGGTTGTGGATACTGCGGACGTTACGTAACGTGTTGCGGATGTCGCGGACGTGATATTTTAACGTGTTGCGGCTTTCGCGGGCAGTTTCATTGCGTTAATATTGTGTCGCGGTGACCTTCAAAACCGTTACAATGCGGTCGTTACACTGCGTTGCAGCCGCAATTTAATACCATGCAAGATCCTTAAAGCATGGAAGAAATTATTTAGACTCTAGTGTCGTTTAATTACTATAAATTTTTCATATGCTTTGCAATTTTCTTTTCTTTTTTAATTATCGTTTAATTATTACATTTTTTCCCTTTTTAAATTTTAAATAGTATTGCCTTAATTTCATATACTGGAATACTATATAATAAAGTAAAAATTATT